GCCACCTTAGGTGTACGTGGCTGGCGCCTTAGCCGGTTGAGCTATAGGCGCCGAGCCATCTTTTACAAATTTTCAGTACTTAGATGCAGATAATCATAATTATATTAAATATTATTTAAATTTAAACTTAATTATTTAAATTATAATTTACTAATCTCTTTTTCAGAGTTTATTTCAATAAACATAATACTACTACTTACCATCATAAGGACAGTGTAAGAAGAAACTACATACACAAAAGCCAATTATTTTAATGGTAACTTAATTTAAATAATAAAGTAAAAATTGGTATGCCAATCTTATTTAACTTGTAAAGAGAAAAAACCACCACCAAATAGGATATTCACTAATCCTTAATACAATCTCTCCTTCCCAATAAATTTACAAAGATCCAGCTAATAGTTTTAATGGGAAAAAACTTTATTTATAAAGTTTAGCCCTTAAAACTTAACTCTAAAAACCATTAATTCAACCTACTCTTTATTCTGCCACCAAATTACTTATTCTTAAAGGTTACTGTAGCAAAACTAACTTAATATTTTGTTATCTACAGACTATGGTGTTATAGATATAAAAAAACCAAAAAGCAACAATAACACAACTTTAGTCTTATAAGTTAATGCATTCACGTCAAAACACTATATTACGCTTCAATAAACACTGGAAAATCTATCTGGTCAAGGCACTAAAAAACATAACAACTATCATTTCTCCAACATTTCCCAAATAAAATATGATGGATTTTCTCTATAAATACTTAGATAACCAGTCACAGAAAATCAGGGATCTGTGCACTATTTATAGTTTGAGTATAGTCAAAACAAACATTTTGTAACCTTTGAAATCATAAACTTTCAAAACTCTATATGTAAAACTGAAATTTAAGCTTAGGAGTTAGAGGATGCTGAGAGCTGTGACACCACAGCACTCTACCAAGGGAGATTAAAAAAAAAAAAAAAGGCTCTACCAAAAAAAAATAATAATTTTTTTTCTGTCTCTACCCCCAAAAAAGAAAAATACAGATTTCAAATTATGCAAACTTTAAATACTTAAGCTTATCACTCCAACAACAAAAAAATATAACCCAACCTTTTGTAGTCTTACTTTAAAACAGAAAAATATAAAAAAGCTAATGAGACAGAGTCTTACTTTGTCACCCCCAGTAGAACGCTATAGCATCATAGCTCACAGCAATCTCGGACTCCTGGGCTCAAATGATTCTCTTGCTTCAGCCTCCCTGGTAGCTGGGACAACAGGTGCCCGCCACAACGCTGCTATTTTTGGAGCAGGGTCTCGCTCTAGCTCAGACTGGTCTGGAATTTGTTAGCTCAGGTGATTTACCAGTGTTGCCCTCCCAGAGTGCATGAGCCAACCACGCCTGGTCCAACATTTTCTTTTAGAAAGATGAATACTGAAAATAAAGATTACTATTTAAAAAAGCAATACCAAAAGTTTGATTTAATTACCATATAAGAATTTTTACCTGCATTAATGTACACAGCTATCATTTAATAAAAAAAAATTTTTTTACTAACAGGATTGAGACATATAGAACACTATAAATTTTATCAAAAAGCAAAAGTAATTTTTCGTTAAACCTATAAAAAAACTTCTAAATATAATAATTTTGCTGAACCAAATTGGAAGCTGTACTAAGACGTATTCCATCTTAGTTAAATATAACGACTAATGCCCACAGTACTCTTTGTGACAGAGATCAGGTTATAATGGGGTGTAGCAGAGTGCATGTGTGCACATGTGCGTGTGTTTCCATTTAGACTGTATCTAGCACGGCAGGCGCTCTGGCACCTGAAGTCTCAGCTACTCAGGAGACTAAGGCAGGAAGATCACCTGATCCCATAAGTTTACGTCCAGCCTGGGCAACATAATGAGATTCCTTTCTCTTAAAAAAAAAAAAAAAAAAATCTGTCTCAAGAAAAATTTTGATGAAAAATGGGTAAATTTCATACTTTTATAGATTTTTAACACCAGGCAATGATGTAAAATAGTGACTTTGGTATCTTTCACTGCATATTCATTCTGTTATTGTTAAAGAAATTAAATTTAAATTAGCCACGATGGTTGGATAAACTATTAACTATGTTTCTACCTAGAAAAGAATTGAAAGTCAGAGTGTTACTTTGCTCCAATAAGCATCTATACTTTTCAAAAATTAATTGGTAATGATTAATGATCTCTCAATGATTTTTAATATTCAGAAGTACTAGATGAAAACGAATCTGAAATAAAGCTAGAAATTCATTTTAGACTTAATATAAACATCTTCCTCGTAATCTGTTTCTCCCAAAGTCAATCCTCTACTTCCTCAAAATAAATTTGGTTAAGCAGAAGTTATTCAGAACTGTAGATTTATAGTACTATTACTCCTAAGTGACGTTTATGAAGACAGAGGGAAAGGGACACACAATATATCTAAGAGTTGTTTCATTTGTCCCAACATTAAATCCTTTCGTGTAATTTTCAAACTGTGCTTATTTACATAATAAAATACTTGAAAAGACAAGGCCAAATACCCACAAGTATTACTGTGAAATGAAAGAATATATAAAAACACAAATGAAGATGTGTGTAAGTATATATAAATATACATTTACACACAAAATATGAGTTAGCATATTCCTACATCAGATTTAGTTAGGATGAACAAACATATACAAATATCCACACATTAAGCAGGATAAAGTAAGGTATATTCATTCAAATGTAAAGAGAACTAAACAGTATGAAATCATATTCTTATTTCACTAAAGGCAGTGTAACAAAGATCTTATTCAGAGCACTGAAGCTAGTTTTAAGCCTCATAACTTTAAAAAGTCATATAAAGATATGAGAGACTACTTAATGTTGAAAAGAACAGCAAAAGATATTAAAAGAGGGCGGCGCCTGTGGCTCAAAGGAGTAGGGCACCAGCCCCATATGCTGGAGGTGGCAGATTCAAACCCAGCCCCAGCCAAAAACTG